TTTCCTTTGTGTCTCTTGCTCTAGGGGACATATTGGTGAAAATATTGCTGCATGCGATATCTGAGAGTTCCCTGCCTATGTTCTCCTCTAGGACTTTTAGGGTGTCACAACTTATATTTAAGTCTTTTATCCATCTTGAGTTTATCTTTGTGTATGGTGTAAGTTGGTCATCAAATTTCAATTTTTTGCATGTAGCTGTCCAGTGCTGAGCATCATTTCATATGTCTCTGGGCCATCTACATGTCCTCATTGGAGAAGAGTGCTCAGGTTTGACTGATCCTTTTTTATGGTCTCTGTGTCTTTTTTCATGTTATTCATATCATTATAATCATCACTCTAAACTCTCTATCTGATAAATTGTTTGCCTCCATTTCATCTAGCTGTTCTTCTGGAGAATTCTTTTTTCCTTTCATTTGGGGTCTATTTCTTTGTTTTCCCACTTTGGCTCCTTCTTTGTATTTCCTTCAATGAAATAGGTAGATCTGCATAGACTCTAGTGTAGGCTGTTGTCAGATGCTGCTTGTGACTGGCCCTTTTCAGCCTGTTTGGAGGTATCAGTTATCCACAGCATGTAGTTCCCTCTGATGGGCCTGTTTGTGTGCTGAAAGAACCAGGCTGTGCACCAAGGCCAGCTTTTATCAGCATCCAGCCTTGGGGAGCGTCATCTGAAGTCTCATAGAGTTCCCTGAAATCTGCCTTAGTTGTTACACTAATTAATGATATAGCTTCAAGCTGTAATCAGCAGCTCAGCTTCAGCATCACAGAAGTGCTAAAAAGTAATTTTTGTCGGTGGGGCTATTGCTTCCCCTCAGGCTGATGCCATTCAGAGATGAGTGCTCTGCCTATATAATCTGGCTTCTGCAGTATGGGGGATGACTCAGCACAGGGATCTTGGTGGCTGCTCCTTCCATTCTCTCCCCAGAGCCACCAAACTCAGACTCTCCTCAAGTGTCTCTAGTCCACTCTTCCCTCCCTCTGCCAGAGCCCAGGGTAAGTGGCCGCAAGTGAAATTTTGTGTATTGTTCCTTTAAGAGGCTCTCTGTTTCCCCAGCCATCTCTCCCTGATGGACAGAAACCCTGCTGATTTTCACAGCTGGATGTTTTTTGGGTTATTTTCCTGGCACTGGTGCTTAGGTTGGGGAGCCCAGCTTGGGGTTAGAATCCCTCTTCTCAGGGGGAACTGCCTGGACACTGAAATATCCCTCCAGAACTTCAGCTGCTACCCATTGGAGCCCAACCAGCCCTCTCATGCTTCCTCCATACTCTCCACCAGTCTCATTGTGGTAAAATGGTTTTTCCTCTCTGTATATGGTCATAAGGCTTCTCTCCATCTATTGTTCAGTTCATTATTCAGGATATATCTCTACAATTTGGTTATTATTCCAAATTGTTCCTGGGAAGAGGATAGCTTCCATGTTCTCCTCCACCACCGTGGATCACTGACCAATCACAGGTTTAAAAATTATGTTTTCAATTAACAAAAACAAGTCAGGTTGATGAATAGAACACCAACATTTGATTTGCATGTTGAGGGAAAGTTTGATTTTAACCTCAGTCACTTTGATAAACAGAAAGAACAACACATGTTATTATTGAAGATGGCCCTAAAAATGCCCATGGGTGACATAACAACATGATGAAGGTCAATTATTTTGACTACAAAGACTTCAGGCAGTGGGAGAAAGAAGCTTGTCTCCTCTCTGTATCTGGAAGGGTACCAATATCATAGTATAGTTAATAAATCTTTAACCTTTAAAAGGCATTTTATGAACAAATTAGGTCAATTAGTACACATTAACTTACATTTTAAGAAATCCTAACCACTTTATAACTGGGGGGGCAGATAATAGCTAATTCCTTGCATCAATGATGTGTTAACAGGCAATATTCATAGCATGCTCAGTTGCAACTGACACAACAAAGACACAAAAAACCCAGTGAAATGCGAACAACATTCAAATGTATAGTCCCAGACTTCACCTTTAACCTCTCCTATTCAGTGTTACCGGTTCATGATAATTTAACTGAACTGTGCAGAATCTTCTACTTCTTGAGGAAATAGGAGTATAATCAGTGCAGAGGGGAAGATTTTAGGGAAGTGGGGTATCTAATCACCTCTCATGGAGTAAAAAGCATTCTAAGAATCCTTTCTCTCATTTTCCTTTCTCACATTAAAGATATATATAACTGTCTTTAATATATTTCCTACACTGAACTAGACACTGTGCTAGGCAATTTACATGCATTATTTCATTTAGCTTTCATACTAATTCTGTAAGATAGATACGGTTCCCATATAAAGCATATGTATAAAGCAATTTTATAAGGCATATAAAAGTTTTACATGACTTGCACAAGGTCAGAGAATTTACAGGTTTTGGAGCCAGGGCATACCTAGATCTGCCTTACTACAAGGGCCAATTTTTTTTACATCAACATACTACCCCTACTCTACTACTCTGTCTTCCTTCCACTTATTTTCTTTTTCCTCCTCAAAGCCTAAAATGGTGGATGGGTAGTAGTATTGGAAGGATTTTTAAAGAAAGAAGGACTAACCTAGTTTTCCTTTATAATTCTGAAGGTGTGTGATTTTCTATTTCCCCACTCATGGTCAGGTAACCAGTATTCAAGAAAATATAGGCTTTTTACAGGTTCATGTTATGTTTTTCTCTCCAATCTCTTCATGGTTTCAGTGACTACATTTTTTTAAATCAGAAATAAGGTCATATAGCATGAGACATTGTGTTTTAAGAGAACATGAGGACAACATACTTAAAACCAAAACTAAGTACTTGTGGTGCCCAGCAGAGAGATAGAGGGCTGGCTCATTATGGATTTATTTATTGTTTCATTGGAGGTTGAACACAGGTGGAAAGTAATGAGCAAAGTTAGAGTAAATCCTTATCAGTGGATTTCGACAAGATGGTCTTTCTGACAGGTATTTTTGTTACATAGCCTTAATGAAGGCTTCTTGAACTTGGTATTTTGTTAATCTGCAAGTACTTGTTTAGATACAAGTCTGTGGATTCTGAGAGACAAGGTGTTAATTATGAGTTCTAATCCCAGTCTACCATATGCTTATAAAGATTAAAATTTATTTCCTTTTTTTCCAACAGTTAATGGCCTAGTGAGTGAGAGAGCAATTGTAATGGGGAACTGAAGAAGGTAATAAATACATTACTGAGGCCAGTTGCTTTACAGAATCATTTATTTAACCCTTAAATTTTTCAGGTTGTAAATTGCTCACTAGAAGGAAAAAAGCAAAACAGCCCTAACCCTGTTTAATGCCTCCAAACTCTGAAGAATTAGAGCAGGAAATCCATGGAAACAATAAGCTTGATGTGTTTTCTCACTGCTATTTCTTAACAAGCAAATGTGGTTAAACAAGGACAAACCCAAGTAATTGTCCTTATGTGCTGGTCCACAGGTTAGGGGTGGGCTTGATTAAATTCATTGAGGGCTGACCTGTAAACATGGGAAAATACCCCTTCTTTTCCACTCAGCCCAGCAGGCAGCTAATCAATGTGCACGTCTCACTTCTAGATTGAGACCAGAGCAATAGCCCATAGCATTCATTACAGAATTCACTCTTATCTGTTGTTTTCTAATCTGTGAAGTGAGTAGGACAAGTAGCAGAAGGGAATTAGGAGGGGACAGGAGAAGGCTGACCCCATCTCCTTCATACATAGGGAATGCAGCTCTAAATTACAAAATGTTCAACTGCAAAAGCAACAACTAGTTTGCAGGTTTCTTTACATGTATATAAAGCCACATATATTTGACTTGAATATAGATTTTATAAACTTAATGTGCCAGGGGTGTCCAACCTTTTGGCATCTCTGGGCCACACTGCAAGAAGAGCTGTCTTGGGCCACATATTAAATACACTGCAACACGTAATTACAAAAAAATCTCGTAATGTTTAAAGTAAATGTATGATTTTGTGTTAGGCCGTGTTCACAGCTATCTTGAGCCGCATATGGCCTGTGAGTCACAGGTTGGACACCCCTGGAACAGTTAATAATTTACTAAGGACAATGGTTTTTGTATATTAAGGGTAAAATTCAATTGCAGATTCTTAATGGTAATGATGTAGTTTTCAAGATGCCTTTGGCATTGTAGATCTATTAAGTAGACTCTGATTACATTTTGAGAGTAGAATTTGAATCTGTGAACATTTCTTTTTTTTTCATTAGTGTAATAACCCTTATATATACAACACAGCTTCTGGCTCACCCTTTGGCTATATAGAATGAAATAGCTATTGGCTGACTTCTGTATTGAGCATGCCTTTCTTTCATATTCCTTTGCCTTTTCCTCTCATGATCAATAGCACATATGAATCAAGATGGTAGTGTTAAGCTATGAAATGGAACTTTGCTCTTTGCAATGTGAAGCCTCTAATTCTGTAGTAGCAAACTGAGTCACCCAACACAAGCTATTTCCATTCGCTTTCTACTTGACAGTCTAATTAAGTTTGTGATTTCATCAGGCTGGCACTGTGTTTATTCTGTGTTCCATTTACTACCTACCAAGCTGTTGTTGCTCAATAAATCATTACTGATAATGAAACAAAATCTAATATTAAAAATTACAGCTGTTCTGGAAATGTACTTATTTATTTTGTTAAAGTAGTTATAAAGCAAGTGTTTCCTAGATAGATCATTTAACCATAGCATATAATAAAATGACTCTTTTATTCCCACATCTTGCTTTCTTTTTGTAAACAAAAGGTTTTTGTAACAGCAGAAGCCTATTTAAAAAAATTTTTAAGGATCCCTGCTATTAGAAATACTGATATCAGAACACTGGAAAAACTGTTGAGATATCTTAAAAGAAACAAAATAACTCATAGTAATTTTGAAAATTATAACTTGAAGCTTCTATGTTACCTGTCCCAGGAAAGAGCCCATTCTGGCCAATTCTGGTGAAGACAAGAAATGACATTTCACCTTTTCCTTTACCTGAGGATGAAGTACCTGAGTTTTCTTTTGACTTACCCTGAGTGGATTTTCATTAAGGTAAGGGGGTTCACCTTCCACCATTTCAATTGCCATAATCCCCAGAGACCAGATATCAACTTTTGGACCGTAAGCTTTTCGAGTCACCACCTCAGGTGCCATCCAATAGGGGGTTCCCACCATAGTGCTTCGTTTACTTTGCTCAGGGGTAATCTGGGCACAGAACCCAAAGTCAGCTGCAGAGAAGAAAAGTCACTTAAAATCAGCTCAAACTATTTTTATTTTATAATAAGTCACTTTCATATATGACTGTACTTTCCTTTGTTAGGCACTGAGCATCCATAACTGTCTAGCTCATATCCTTGTTACCTTACACCTCGGCTGGTCCTGATTTTAATAGAGTCTGAAATAGCTGACTGATGTGATGTCAGTCTGGTTCCCTCTAACTTACAGGACATTTCAGTCTTATTATGTGTCATCCAGCAGATGGAAGTCACTAAGAATTTTGAAATATTAACCCCCCCCAAAATCTGGTCACAATCTACAGAAACACAGCATTAAACAATCTTTTTAAGAACCTATGCACCCCAATGTTCATAGCAGCACAATTTACAATAGCCAAGTGTTGGAAGCAACCTAAATGCCCATCAGTAGATGATTGGATCAAAAAATCATGGTACATATACACAATGGAATACTACGCAGCAGAAAGAAAAAAAGAACTAGTAAACTTCGCGACAGCATGGATGGAACTGGAGAGCATTATGCTAAGTGAAATAAGCCAGGGGGCGAAAGACAAATACCATATGATCTCACCTATAAGCGGAACCTAACCAACAATACAAAGATGCAAGGAAAATAAGACCAGCAACACTCAAAGGAAAAGAAATCAACAGAGACATGAGGGAAGGAGGGAGGCGGGGTGGGGGAAAAGGAAGGGAAGGGGAAAGTCAAGGAACATATAGCAAGGATTCATGGACAAAACCAAAGGGGAAGAGCTGAGGGAGGGAAGGAGGGAGGGGGCAAGGGAAAGTGGTGGGGGTAGGCAGAGACAAATGTATTTGAAAAAATAAAATTAAATTAAAAAAAACAATCTTTTTAAAACTGGGCTCTAAATGCTTTCAAACCAATCACTTTCAATAGCCATTTTCTTCTCAAGATAGACAGTAAAAGAGCAGAATTCCCCCAATACACTCTTAAACACAATCAGAACCAAAATACCTACTCAATTTAACAGAGCCATCCATTCCAAGGAGAATATTGTCACTCTTTATGTCTCTATGGATCACCTGGTTTGAGTGCAAGAAATCCAAAGCTTGGAGGCACTATTGGGTCAGGAAAAAAAAAGTACTGATTATATCACAGATAAGTTTTAAAACTAAGTTTAACCTAGATAAATTTTGGGAAGGGTATAATTTTACGTTGTCAAGTGAAATAGATTACTAAGTGTTTTAACACCATTTTGAAATCACATTACCATTTATATCAGTGATGTGATTTAGCATTATACATATGAAACTCCTGAGTCAGACTAGGACATGAAGAGTGATAGTGTGATGAATAGCACTAAGTCCTTAATATAGTCAAACTAACCAATTAATATAATCATACTTTGAACTAGTTATCTAGAGGGTATGGATTCAGCTTGGTTTTAAACAGATGCAGTAAGCTTCTGCTTCCATGGTATGATTTGTTTCAGTAGGTCTAATGTGGGGACCAGGAATCTGCATTTAAAAGAAGTGCCGCAAGCTATTTCTGATGGACACCCAGGTTTGGGGACCTACTATGAAGTAACTATAGGTGCTTGTTTGCAAGTGGCTTTGCATTGCAATACTATAATATGGAATCAACAGGCTCAGGGTCAAATATTCTCCTAAATATTATAAGTTTGATATATTACATGAATAGAAAATATATGCGTTTAGTGGATATGTGAGCCTGTTTGAGGAGTGAAAAATGAGAATGGGAGGAGAACAAGCAAGGAAGAAATTTAAGTGAAATTTTGAGATTAAATAAGGACTAGTTGAAATTATTTGGTTTTGTTTTTCTATCATTGTTTTTTAAGTTTCAGTGGGTCAGGATTCCTAATTGTATCTATAGAAAACCTCCCCACAATGAATCTGGTAGATGGTAATGCCCAATATAAAATTCCAATGAAGAGTGTTTTTTAATATTGAAAAAATAATATAATAAAATATAGTTGGTTTAGCTTGAAAATAGGTATACAACACTGTTATTGGAAAAGAGGCAGACACTTAGACACACAAGAGGGCTATGAGGGATGTCCAAATTTATACTGTGAATGCAACTACTTCCTGGGCTAAGGAAAGACCTTGGTTAAATTACCTTCTAGAAAAAGATAGGATTATAATATAGTCTGTATTTTCACATGGCTCACATTGCACATCCAAGACAAAGTAACTACCATGTAAAAATTCCTTCAAGTGAGAAAGAAGTTCCATGCCAACAGTACTGTTTTCCATGTTCCATGAAACTTAAAAAGCAGGCTTACATATTGTACCCTGTAAATGGCATAATGGAACTCAAAAGATCCATAGCAAAACAATTAAAATAAACAAGGAGCTGCCGAGGTAGGGGAAGGGGAGTGCTATTACATTAGGATTTAAACAGAATTTAAGCTCTCCAAATTTTTTTCAGTAGAAAATATGTGCTATTATTACTTTGATGTTATAAACATTCTGAGTAATCAGAGATAAAGAAATGACTTCCAATTTTGGTGTTCTTGTCATCTAGAAATGTTCTATTTTCTTACCTCTCTACAGACAGCTGCTATCTGTCCTTCATCCATGCAGGTCTCTGTGACCACATCAGTCAAAGAGCCACCAGCCAAGTATTCCATGACTACCCATAGTTCATCACCCACTAAGTAGCTATAACAAAGAAGAAAAAGACTTTGACTCAGGCCTGAGAAAGTGGGGATTCTTCCATATTCCCATTAAGAAGGCAATTTGCAATCAGTCTTTTTGCATTTGGTTATATTACATAACAAGAAGATAGTATCAGTGATGGTGATAATGAGACACTTGCTTAACATTAGAAGAGAATATGCATAGAAACCAAAGGATCATCAGATACGACTGTACCGTGGAGGAGGGAAAAGAGCAAGGACACCTCTGGTTAACTGACTACTATATGCCTTATAAAAGCTAGTTTCAATGAGCAGGATCAAGGAATAGCCCTTTTGGATAACTCGAGCCACAATGTTGACTTCTTGGACTGAAGTGTCCCATGGCATACAGATTTATAGGCTCTTTATTCAGATCTTGGCATTATTTTCCATTCTACTGAATTGATTACTGAAATGTTTTCAGTCACTAAATCAAAGTGATTCATGTTTGCAGTGGATTTACTGTGCTGAGGTGCCAGTTCTTATAAAAGTCAATTGTGACACTTTCTGAAACAGTGATTTCTACTGTAAAATTTGACTCTCCTATTTTTGCCCCTCTTTTTTCTCCTTCAGTACCACTGGTATACCTGGCACAAAACAGAAATAAATATGTTAAGCTTACTGAGGTTGTAGACCTAGTCTTATTTCTTCTGTACCCCATCCCCAGAGCACACAGGACAGTGGTGCTAAACAAACACTTAGTGAAACTGAATGAGACAGATGTTAACCTCAAGAGCTGGTGCTGTCTTTAAATGTCTATTTATAATCCACTTGCTAATACCACTGATGAAAGAGACATTAATTACCTGGTCCAGGAGAAAGGTTTGAGATTAAAGTTTCAAGTCCCTGGGTCTCATTGTCAGTTTTTCACAAAACATCCATTAGAGCAGGGCTACTGTAGACAGTCTCCCTCACTTAGACACCTAGAGACTGCACTGGCTTCAAACAAACACTTGGTGAAACATTTGATGCACCACAGCCCTCTCCTATATGCAATAGGCTATTTCCTGCCAACACAAAGTCATGATCCTCAAGGGGAAATTACACAAATGCTCATGTTTAAAATGTGTAACAGTATAAAATATGTCTTCAAATGTTTGATGGATGGACAAAGGTAAGTGGATGCAAGTTTAGCAATAGATCTGATATTCTACTATTTTGTAGAATTTGAGAAATATTTATAGAATGAATAGTAAATAAATAAATCCTAAATAAAATAATTGGTCAAGAGAATGACATCCCATAAAAAAAAGCAACTGCATAATGAGAGAAAACACTTACCTATCTAAATAATTAACAATATTGGGGTTCTTATTTTCCCTCATGACTAGGATTTCATTAATAATTAATTCCTTTTTGGGCTGCTGTTGAAGGTTCATCTGCTTGATGGCCACCTGAATGGTGATTAAAATATAGGAATGAAGTATAATTAGGCTAAAACAAACATCCACATTTTGGGGTATACAAATTCTTTATCTTAGTAAACTTTTACTTGGTGCCACAAACCCATTCCCCTTTCTGAGGTTAATCATGAGTAAACTATTCCCTTCAGAAACTTTGGACACCAATAAAGAAAACTCTAACATCAATCCAGTGCTACCCACTTTTTTTTCAGGCATAGATATATCAAAGAAGAAATCTGATCAATATGAATAAAGGAAAATAAAAATCAAGATTGAATGTTAGCACTTACCTCTTGTCCTGTTGCAATGTCTAGTGCTGTATAAACAGTACCTGATGCCCTGTGGAGGTGAAAATTATCAACTGCATAAGCAAAGTATTGTCAATATATTTTCTTTTAAATAAATGTAATTAATTTTAGGAGAGGAATATCAGCCAACTAAAGATTAAAAGGTGAAGTAAAAAAAAATAACAACCATTTCGTAAAGGAACTACTCTTGAAATAATCATGACATATCCTTTTGGTTGACTAGGAACTCCAGTCAGAGTTCCTGGCAGCAGTCTGTGTGCCATGGCACTCACAGTAATAAATTGAGCAAAATGGCCTTGCTCCTTTTAGGAATCTCCTGGAACATTGTAAATATTCCTTACACATTGCAACAACCAACACTGCAGTTCTCTAATTAAACTGAAATACAGTTTAGGAAAGAATATATCTTTTTTTGTTTGTTTAGGCAAGTGTAAATTAATTGTTTCTTTTAACATACGGACAGAGTGGCTTTTAAAATATATATTTTAATTCTTAAGAATATCTTCATTCAATCAATCAAATACCCTCAATGCTGTACTTATCTGTACGGTACTACACAAACCAATAACAACATGGCTTTAGTGCTGAGCCATTTCATTTTCCTTTGGCTAAATTTCTCAACAGCTTCTACTAGGAGGTTACACTCCAGTCCACAATCCATTTAAAATCTAGCATTTCTTGACTTTTGGTGGCATTCATTTTTCCTTTCTAACTTCAGTTACATGGTTCCTTGCTTTGTAAATATAAATTATCTAGCAAAGCTCAATTCATGGCAAGGCTTTGAGAAACACTCATGCATTATGAACCACCTCCCCACCTCCATCTAAAAGAAAAAGGAAAAACCTAGCCATTTTTGTAGAAATATTTGTGGTAAATAAAGGAATTCAGATAGAGATCAGTTCTGTGACTCACCAGGCATAACAAAGCTCCAACACTTCTATCTAAATTTTCTGGAAATTGTTATTTCTCATTTGTTCTATATTTATCGTTTGCTGTTTTGTTTTTTGAGTGTAGGAATTCTCTTGTTATGCCAGCCATTTATCTGTAATTCTTCTCTCTGGATGGGCTAAAATATTTACTTCAGGCCTAGGAAGTTTACATTACCTACTTCTAGGAATTATGGGTGGTATAGTAAAAGGACTATTTGAGTACTATTAGAGATTTGAGTTCTAATATTTGCCTTAACATTAAAAAGCTACATGACCTTGGCTAGTCATTTTCACTCTCTGTTTCAGTTCCCTCACTTGGCAAATAATGATCACAATAACAGTAAACATGTATAGAGCATGTTCTGTGTGTCATTAATTCCTTTTACTAATTCCAATTCCTTAAGTTGATCTGTCTTGACCTCCTGACTTTGTGGTGTGAACTTCTATGATTGGAGACCGCTGTTTTTACTCTCTGGATCTGCCTGTGATGATGTAAGATATTGAGCCTGTCTGACCTTAGACAGTCAGTTTGAGACTTCTAGTTATGCACTAAAAACCTCATATAAATTTTCTTATGTAATCCTTACCATTTTCTATAATGCAAGTGCTATTACCCCCATGTTATAGATACGGAATCTGAGGCTCAGAGAGGTTAAGAAACCTGGCCACTGTTACAGAGTTTACAATTTCTAAGCCTGTCCCTCTGACCTGCAAAACATAGGAAATCTGAGACTCTATTTTTAAAGTTCTTTGATTCCATAATCTAAAATTTAAAAAATGTTCCTGTCATTTTCCATCGGTATTTAAATATCTATTGAAATTAAAGTGAGAAATCAGGCTCAATCACTAGGAGCCATTAAACTAGTATTTGGTAATTTCAGAAATTCCTTTGATTATAGTAATTAAATAGGTCTCCTAATTTTTTATGTTTGAAATTCTGAGCTGAGAGCACTTAGTTGGTGTTCAATAAGTATCTGTTGAATAAACAAATTAATAAAACTATTTTCAGGAGAATCAAGATAGCAGAGGAGTGAGTGGAAGTCACACTGATCTCCTCACAGGACAAACCTGGAATTACAACAAAATTGTGGAGAAATCACCTGGAACAAACAACTGAACAATAGCAAGAGAGGAGCCTTGTAACCTCAGAGACAGAAGAATCAGCTTTAGTGCAATATAACTGGTAAGGAGTGCAGTAGAGACTCGAGAAGGTGGGCGGGGCGCGCACAGGCGGCAGCACCAGAAGGATACTGAAACGGCCAGTTGGATCCCCTGAGAAAAGTGGTGTCTAAACCAAAAGCGAGGATCTCTAGCCCACACACCAGAGTCCAAAAAGTACACAGAAAACAGCCGGCTGCGAAAAGAAGCAAGGTTGCTCTCTGCCAGAGACCAGTGGCTGGAGCCGCAAAGAACCGTTCAAAGGGCGAAAGCATACAGTTTTATTTGCAGCCACTAACCCTGGTCTCCAGCAATGGTGGGCGAGAATGTGCTAGAGACGCCTGAGGAGAGACTGGGGGAGTAGGCTTTGAGGAGAGAACGGAGAGAATAGCCTGTGGGATCTCAGTGCTGATTCATCCCCCATGCGGCAGCAGCCATCTTGCTCAGGTGGAAACCACTCCCCCTGAGCGGCACCAGTGTCAAAGGACCCAATAGCCCCACCCCCTGGTGGGATGCCACCCGGCCCTGTGCAGTCTAAGCTGCCCGCTGAGTGCAGAGTGGCAGCCACAGACAGTAGATCCCTAGCTAAAGGGGGCACACAGAGGTCTGGAGACACTTGAGGAGATACTGGGGATGGAGGCTTTTGGGAGAGAACGGAGAGAGTAGCTGGTGGGATCCTAGTATGGACTCCTCCCCCATCCGACAGCAGCATGAGAGGACCCAATAACCCCACCCCCAGGAGGGACTCTACCCTGCCCTGAGCTGTCTAAGGCACCCTGCTGAAAGCAGAGTGAATAGATTAACATCTAAAGGAGACAGCCACAGACAGAAGATAACTGGAAGTCTCGAACAGACTGTCTAAGGTCACACAGGCTCAATATCTGACATCATCAGAAGCAGATCCAGAGAGTAAAAACAGCGGTCTCCAATCATAGAAGTTCATACCACAAAGTCAGGAGGTCAAGACAGATCAAATTAAGAATCAGAAGCAAAAGAAGAAAGTCTCACAAATAATGGGAAGACAAAGAAATTCGCTGCACTTGAAGGGAAAGGAGGAATCCTCACAAAGAGAACTAAAAGAGAGGCAAGTAAACTATCAGATATTGAGTTCCAAACAACAGTTCTAAGGAAGCTCAATAAGCTCAGTGAGCTCAGAAAGAATTACAAAAAACTACACGGAAACTATGAGGAACTTACTGTAAACTATATCACCATGAAAAAGGACATAGAAACTATCAATAAGAGACAAAAGGAAATGAAGACTACAATTTCTCAATTGAAGAACACAGTAGATGGAATCAAATGCAGGCTAGATGAAGCTGAGGAACGAATCAGCAAGCTGGAGGACAAGGTAGAAAAAAGCTCACAGAAAGAGCAAGAAAATGAACAAAGACTCAAAAAGCATGAAGAGGCATTGAGGGAACTGCAGGACAACCTGAAACATAATAATATTCGTATAATAGGGATACCAGAAGAAGAAGACGATGAGGAAGGGATAGAGAACCTGTTTGAAAACGTAATGATGGAAAACTTCCCTAATTTGAGGAGAGAAAGAGTCACACAGGTCCAGGAAGCTCAGAGGGTCCCATTCAAGAGGAACCCAATGAGGCCCACTCCAAGACACATCATCATTAAAATGGCAAATAGCAAAGACAAACAGAATCCTAAAGTAAGCAAGGGAGAAAGAGGTAGTAACATATAAGGCAGCCCCGGTACAGCTAGCAGCTGATTCCTCAACAGAAACACTGTAAGCCAGAAGAGACTGGCAAGAAGTGTTACAAGTCATGAAAAGCAAAGTTCTGCAACCAAAACTGCTCTGCCCAGCAAGGCTCTCAATTGACATGGAAGGTGAAATATGGAGTTTCCCAGACAAAAGAATGCTAAAAGAATACACCTCTACCAAACCAGAACTGCAAAATATGCTAAGATGGCTGCTTTAAGATGAAGAAAAAATTTCCATGAATACCCAGTTCCTTTCAGTTGCCAATACTTGATCTTACCAATATTTTAAATACTCATTAATCTGATTGTGACAGTCATGTTATTTTAATTGTTCCTTTACTATTTGTTGAAACTAAACCTGTTTTTGTATATTTTTTTGCCTATTTCTATTATTTAAAAAAAAAGCTTTAAATGACTTTTTGGTATTCTTTATTCATTTATCGATTAGAGGTTTGTAGAACTTTTCTCCCTAATAAAACAAACAAACAGAAAAACAACCTATTAACCATGTTTTAGATGTGCGCAAATACTTTTCTATTCTATTTCTTATGCTTCAACTTTTTATATGTATATTACAATATAGTTAAATGTTTAATATAGTCATATTTTTATATTTACTTTATAGCTTCTGGGTTTGAATATTTTACTTCAGGTCACGAAAAATATTAGTTCTATTTTCTTCTAAAACTCCTTAGATTCTACATATTGATTTTTACCTCATCTGAATATTTCTTGTATAATGTGTGAAATAGGGTTCTATATTTGTTTTATTTTAAGTAATAGTGGTCCATGCACCTTATTTGTTGAATAAGCCTTATTTTACCCATTGATTTGAAATATCAACTTCATCATATATTATATTGTTAGACAGATACATATGTTTGTCTCTAGAGTGCTCATTATATTTCATTGATCTACTTGATTATTTCTGTGCAGGTGTCATGTTGGTTTAATTGCTGAGACTTTATAATGGTTTTAAAGTTTTTTTAATATTTTATAATATATTTGACATTTAAAAAATAAATAGAACAGACATTTCAAAAATTTATATGGAACCATAAATGACCCCGAATAGCCGCAGCAATTTTGAGAAAGAAACACAAAGTAGGAGGGATCACAATACTGGACATCAAACTCTACTACAAAGCCACCATACTCAAAACAATCTGGTACTGGCACAAGAACAGACCCATAGACCAGTGGAACAGAATAGAAAGCCCAG